CGGTGCTGAGGGCCAGGGTTTGGGGGTGGGATGGCAGGGGTAGGGGAGCGGTTGGGCTGGGGGAGCTTAAAGGGCTTTGCCAACCTAAATGGTTCTATGATTCTATAAAGCAGAAGGAACTGTAGGGACAACATCTTATTCATAAGCAGATTTCCTGGCAGCTAAGTAGGCTCTCACATACCTTCTTCCTGCAGTGACTTCTCGTAGCATCCGGAAGGGCTTGTTACCTTTTCTCTGGCTGACGGAGGTCCATTACGTTTTACTCCGAAAAATCTTTAAAGGTGGCAGAACTGACTGGTGATATTTTTGTTACCTGGGTAACTTTGCACCCACTGCTGATGGTTGTCAGCACTTCTTTTAACTGGGGTTCCTGTGCATGTTAAGAGTTGGCGTTTGGGACTTACGATGTGGTTACTACCATGTGTTATATTTGTGTCAAGCTGAAAACTCCCAAGAAAGCTCTAACTGGCACCTCACCTGCCTGAGTTCTGCACGGTGTTCATTCCTCATTAATTAGAGTTCAGGTCAGAATCTTTCTTTTCATTTCCAGATCCCTCTCCTAAGTAGTTAAGGAAATATCCATCATTTTTCTTCCCATCTCCTCCTCACAGCTGCACAATGAAAAGTCTGACCTGTGGGGGAGGCTCATCAATGTTGGTGGTAGTTTGCCAGGAGCCAGACCTAGATGGAGGAATTTCTCTCCTAGAAGGCTAAAAGAGCACTGAATAATTGACTTCAGAAACTGAAATATTTGTTGTTCTGTTTTTACTGCTCTGCTGCCCAGGAACCTTAATTACGGATCAAGACCACATTGTTCTGATAGCTGTACAATTAAATCAGATAGGATCCACTGGGTGTTAATAGTTTTAATGCAAGAAAAAAAGGCAATATTTGGATGCAGATACCTGGGGGGGGATCCAAGGGAACAGGTTTGGTTAGTGCAATGACCAAGGCCTTTGTATATAATCAGCCTTACTGTTGTCAGGCAGAAGGGCTAAGCTAATCTAGTTATTTCTCCTGCAGGATAGAAAGAGTTAATTCAGCAGAATTTCTTTGCCTTAAAATGATTGCATGGACAGTTTCCTTTGGGGTTGAAACTTAATTCTTGCAATACTTTATAATAAACAATGTCCAATTAGATGGAAGACACTTGGATTCTGTGGTGATGGGGTCTGGTGACGTTGAGCATTTTTTTTACTTTTGTCAAGTGACCTGTTCCTGATTCCCCAGAGCACTTTGCCTCTAGTGACCTGATTCCCCACTGGGGACAGAGTGTTCTTGGTGTGTCCTATACCAGTGGCAACGTACTAGGACTTGGCCAGCTTAGGGTGCAGAGTCTGGTTAAACTTTGATCTGACTTTCTGCCTTTTTTATCCGTTTTGTTTGGTATCCAGACATGGGTGTGTTTGTTTTTAATGGTACCTGTATTTATGATAAGGCTTTTTCCCTCACTGGTTTTTGTGAAGTATTAAAATAAAGCTTGTTGCTTAGAGATCAGTGTTTGCTTGTTACAGATATGATATATAAACTGGACCTTAATCATTCTCAATCAACTTTTATAATGGAGTAAAATTATTATAGGTGAGGTAGGCATTAGTCTTATTTTACAGAAAAGAAAACTAAGTGGAAATAGGTGACATGATCTGCGCAGGATTTAAGAAAGAATAAAGAGTGAAGTTGAGGAGAATGCCTGGAGTTCACTGGAAGTGGGATTCCTGTGAGCTGGTGGGCTGGGAGAGTCTCTAGATGAGTCCGGAGCACAAGCCACCAACCCACAAGTTGGCATCTCAGCTAGGTTAGAGAAATCACAATCTGAAATGACGAACTACTCCTCGTTGCCTTTAAATACCAGCCTAAACCCACTAGTTCAAATGCGACCGTTTGCATTTTAGATGAGAGGCTGATGTGATAAATCCTTACATCTTCCAAACATTTTGGATAAGCCAGAGGTTGTCTCTGCTCACAAGTATATGATGAGACAGAGAAGATCTGTTTTCTTTATGGGTTAACAGCAGTGTTTCCGTTGACTCTGGGATGCTGGATCATGCTATGATGCAGCACCTTCTGGCATCAAAGCGGTACATGAAGTGTAAATGTTTCAGTAGATGGACACGATACGGCGTCTCCCCTTGCTCTTCCTCTTTCTCAGTGCTTGGCACTGTATGGCAGAAAATGCAGCGAGGATCTCTTGCCACCTGCCTCGCTCTGAGTGGGGACAAGTGAACTTGGGTTTTGGCTTTGTAGGGCGTGGACAGCTTGGGTTTGTCCTGCGTGGAGTCACTTGAAGTTACTCTTCAAGAAAAGCAAATGTCTTGTTGCTTTTAAACTGCTGGTCATTTAACATGAGAACTGCTGACTCTTCAAGGACTATTGAAACTCATAACCTGGGTCTATTAGTTAATTATTTCCTGCAGTAGAAGCTACTGTTTAAGTAGGACATAGTTGATGAGAGAATTCTGAGTTTTCTTTCCCGTATTTGTACTGCCTTCTGAAGGCCTACTGCAGCTTATCTGGAAACAGTGCTAGACCCCCAGCCTATCTTGCAGGACTGCATAAGGACAGGACTCTGCAAGGACTCTGCAAGAGCGAACCCTTGCAGATAACATGCTCTGCAGGACGGTGCTGCGCCGTGCCGGACAGCAGAGCTCTCCCTCACGTTTGCTGCATTCTCTTTATTTAGCAATTTCCATCCCTAAGGATCACGGAGAACTTCTCTCACATCTGTCTGAACAGGAGTTCTGTAGTACTGCTCGGAGGAGCGACACAGGTTATGAACTGAAAATGCTTTAGATAAGGGCAGAACTCAGTTGTACTTTCTAGATTTTGGATTCTTTGACATTAACAGCCCATGAGAAGCTTATATACATGTTGTATTTTTAATGTACTTCCTGCACAGGTTTTGGACAGAAGGTCAACGGACCAGCGTGTTGCGCAATTGTTAGAGATAAAATTTGGTTAGGACACCTGGAGAAAGGTGTGTGGAGTTTGTTTTTTGGTTTGCGTAGTCTTGCTTTCAGTGGAATCAATTGGAATGAACTGGCTGAGTTAGCAGCGGTTCCACACAGGTGTTTTTCCTAGCTGAGCCCATCAGGCGCAGGCTGCTGACAGCTCTGTGTGTGCAGATGTTGAAACCCGTGTCAGATGGCCATAGGCAGCCGCAAGCAGCATTTGGGAAAGTGGTCCCTGGGGGTTATGGCAGGCAATGGCAGAAAGCAGGAGGTCTTCTTCCAAAACTCTGCTGTTCACCTGTCTTGGCTGTTAGTGATTGCCAAGGGGGGTGTGCGCACGCACACACATTCTCCATTTGGATCTGTCCATACCGGCACAGCACAAATCCATTACCCTCCGCGATGAAACCTTTAGTATTTTGCTGAAGTTTAGCTGGAGGGGAATTAAGAGATTTACTATCTACCATGTTCTGGCATGGAACAGCTTTTTCTCTCTGATTTGGACCTGCAAGTAGTTCAAAAAAGAGAAAAAAAATTTAGGGGTGAAACGAAGAGTTGAATAAAGTGACGGTGGTGACCTTGGGTAGTCTTACTCTTCTGTATATGCTAAGGGGCAAATGCGTTTCAGTGTGTTTTCTTGACTGTCCCTGGCAGGATTTAGTTGATTTAGGTACAAAGCATATGTACACTGTATGTCTTTCTCAGCGTTGTGGCTTCTGAGCTACCTGGTGTACTGGAGAACAGAGCTCCACGCATGCTAATTTATCTCCTCCCAACAGAGAAGTCCCTTCACACGTCTCCTTCACTGCCCGAGACTGGATTGCTCTCAGCAGCTGCGAGGTGTGGAACCTTTTCCCCTCTCGGTTTCTGAACCAGGCGCTGCCCATGCTCTTCACCTGACATTTTTTTTTTTGAAAGTTTTGTTTAGTGTAACATTTAGCTGTGATTTATCAGGATTTTCACTGCTGCTGATGGGACATGCTCCCTACCCTCTTGTTGTAATGCGCTCTCGCTGACTAATTATTACCGAGTCTATCGCACTGCTGTTCGAAGTCCATCTTTTTGATTTGCACCCCTTTGTACTAGATGCTGTAGAGACTCTTTGAGGGGCACTATCCCAACCCTGGGAAACATTAAGACTAATTTAGTGGTGGTCTACAACAGCCATTTTTCAGAAAATCATACAGCTTTGCAAAAGTGTTAATATCTGTCCAAAGCAGATGAAATATAGACCCCTTACCTCATCATAGAGTAATATTGTATGAGAAAGGATTTGACTGAGAGCACTGGATAGTGTTTCCCGGCCTTGACTCTAGGATGTGTGTTTACTGCTTAACTTGAGTTCTTCCCTTCTTTTTCACCCAGGATCTCATTTTCAGTTCTGCTTCTGTTTCCTCTAGAGAAATATTTCCCTACTTGGTTGTGGTGATTGGCCTGGAGAACGTGTTGGTTCTCACCAAGTCAGTTGTCTCCACGCCCGTTGACCTGGAAGTGAAGCTACGCATTGCCCAAGGTACACAGCCTGCTCTGGAAAAATGTTGAGAGAGAAAATTAGGGTAACCCAAGGACTAGGAAATGGGGAAGGATCTTAACTCTGGCCTGCAAAGGAAGTAAGGACAATGTGTGTTGAGTGTGAATTGGGAATTGTAGTCTGTTAGTCTTTTTGTACTGGTTTCGATAATTCCAAGAAGGAACATAAGCCTGTTATTGTGGGCTCTGCTTTTTAAGATTGTTGTCTAAAACATTGGCTAAAAGTGTTAGTAAGGGAGAGCTGTATCCCCTGGTGTAGATATTCAGCACCTTGTCCCCTCATGTCATGAATATTTTAAGTGCAGTCCACAGGTCATAGGAAGTTCTGCTGAGTCTGTGACAAAATTATGTTCTCTATTATAGATACACTCTGAACCTGCATAAGGATTTGAGTGTACTCTAACCATGGATAAATGGAGTTTGCAAAATTAAAAGATGTTTCTAAACATCAGGGAAGAGAGATTCTAGAGTGACGCCTAGAAAAATCCACCTAGTTTTAAAAATACAGGCGGTTTGTATCCTATATGGAAAACAGATCTCGAAGACTCATGGTCCTTTACGCTTCTGAATCCCTGTATTGCCCTGTGCAGTACCCTCCAACTGCTTAAATCAGGACAGTTTTGTGAGCTGAGAGAGTCATCCTGAGCTCCCTTTGTAGTTAATGATAATCCTGCTGATAAAGACATTGGGAGTCTACAGTCGGATTATTTGACTTGGATATTCAAAAGAGGTCAGATGAATTTTAGCCTGAAGGTGCCTTTCTTGGCTGTTGTCTACAGATGCCTAATTTTAAAGAAGGGAAATCCAGTTCCTTTTTGCTATGCTCATGTCTGTCCACTAGCGAACAATCTTGTTTTACTCATCTTTGCATGTTCTTTCTCCAGGCTTGAGCAACGAGAGCTGGTCTATTATGAAGAATATGGCGACAGAGCTTGGGATCATCTTGATCGGGTATTTCACCCTTGTCCCAGCCATCCAGGTTAGGCTCCCCTCTCTGGCTGATTGCATTAAGATTCTGTTAGTGGGAAATCTGTACGTTGTGGATCCCTCCAGGCTTTAGGCTTCTGTCCAGCAGCTGCCCCTGGATCCCCAGTCTTCCCAGTTGGGATCCTTCCAGTACCTGGGCTTACACGTTCAGTTCATCCAGTAGTTGGCCCTGGATCCTTGCTCTCCCCAGCTGCCTTACACATACGCACGTGCAGGTGGGTCTCTCAGTCGCCCCAGCCCCGCAGTCCCTCTGGCAGGTGACCTGGAGCCCCTGATCCATCTGGTGACCAACTCCTCCATCTTTCTCGCTCAGGGACACCCACGTACCTGGCTCCCAAGCCACTCACCCTGCTTGCCAGCTGCCTGGCTCGATAGTCACTAGTGATCGCACGCTGACGTGCATACTCCAACGCATTCCGGTTGCTGGTGACGCAGACACGTGGGTCCCTGTGCCCTGTGGCCCCCGTTCCAGTTGCTGGTGCTTAGACCCTAATTGCCAGCACCACAGACACGTGGGCTTGTACAGGACAGATGGGTTTGGAGAGCCTCTGTCACTGAGTCATCGCGATGGCTGTCACCCCCAGGCTGTGGGGCTGATCACTTCGCTGCGATGGCCCTGGGAGAACCTGGAGCAGGGGCTCGTTTCCCTCCCGACCACCCGTCCATGCTCCTCGTGTTTGTGGAAATGAGCTTCCTATCGCAGAACTTAACACTGACCAGTGCATTTGCTGTGCAGACGCCTTTATTCCCACTTTATTCCAAAGGGCTTTTTTGTGGGCTGGCTAATCCACTTTATAAGTGGATGGAAGAAAAAAACCACCCTAGTGCAGAATGTCTGCTCTGAGAATTAGGGTGGGCAGTCTGTTTGGGCTCTTTCACCAGAGTGACGAATCTGTAGGTTTTTACTACCACAGCTATCGCTGCCTCTGTTTCATGGGTGGGTAAACTGAATGCTCGAGGCAGAATGATCTGTCAGGGTTCAGGCTTCTGGGTCTGTGTAGCACTGAAAACAGCATCTTCTGCCTGGCAGTGTGTTACTTTCTCTGCTGTGCAGTCTCCTTTTCAGGACTGTGCTTGCTGAGTTGCATCAGGAAGTTAGGATCATGGAATCATTAGAATCATAGAATCGTTAGAATCATAGAATCTTAGAATCATTAACTCATTTAGGTTGGAAAAGATCTTTAAGATCATCAAGCCCAACCGTTCCCCTACCCCTGCCATCCCACCCCCAAACCCTGGCCCTCAGCACCGCCTCTGCCCAGCTGTTAAATCCCCCCAGGGCTGGGGACTCGACCCTTTCCCTGGGCAGCCCCTTCCAGTGCCTGACAGCCCCAAGGGGAAGGAATTGTTCCCCATGGCCAACCTCACCCTGCCCTGGCACAACTTGAGGCCATTTCTTCTTGTCCTAGTTAACACCATTTGATTTCTGACCAAGCAGGGCTCGTGCCTGGTAAGGCACAGGAACAGAAGTACTGCCCAGCCAAATCCTCATTGCCAGTTCCATAGCACCTCTGCAGCCAAGGCTTCAGGGGGGTGTCAGCCTGTTGTCTCTGGAAGCTTCTAGCAGGCGCAGTCCACAAGCAAAGGCAGGAGCACCCCGACATCTACATAGTTGGAAGCTACTCTGGGCACTTGCTGGGTGCTTGCTGGCCACGTGTGACCGCGTGAAGAGGGTTGGGTTGTGGATCTCCTTGCCTTAGCACTGGGGAGTCACAAGTAGAGACTGCAGATTAAAGCATGTTGTAATCTAAGAAGATTAAACATTCAGGTTGGACTGGAGCACTGCAGGCTGAGCTTCACAGTTCCTGAACCTCCCTCAGTATCCCAGAGGACGGCAAGAGAGGAGCTATAGCAGAATAAGCTACAGCCAGCCACCTATTGTGGCCTAATTTTTTTATTTGAAGCTGATTGCAGGGATTCCTCAGCTCAACCACTGGCACAATCCATCCTTTGGGTCTAAATTGGGCTCATCCATATGATATATTAGTGCCTTTTGGCCTCTGTTTTGTTGCTTGACCTCAGAATTCGAAGCTTGACAGTGTCTGTGGAGCGAGCGCAGTGCCAGCAGCCCTGTCACATGGAGGCCGCTGCGGCAGCTCGCTTTCTTGTTGCACTGTGCTGTAGAGGAGCTTGCAGGGTGCACTGATTACAGGAGATAAAGGAACGGGATAAAAGGGATGGGGCAGAGCCGTGTAAGTGTCAGCAGAGCCATGGGAAGAAGTGACACCATGCCCCCACCCCGGTGTTATCTCTATTAAAGTACTCCTGTTTATTCCAGCATGCTGGCACATGTGGTGACATCCACTCCCTGCTCTCTGTGTGATCCTGTCTTCCCTTGGATGCTTGCTTTCTCCGGAGGAAGAATCTCACAGGGGTGCTGTCTGTTAGAGACCGACAGCTGCTCTGCTGGAGCCTGGCGTACACCCCTTACCTTCGTCCCTGAGAGTGAAGGACACTGTACAGATAATGTGCTGTACTCGCGTTGCAGAGTCCAAGGAATCTGGCAGAAAGAGAGCCAGGCTGCGTAAATCTGGCAGGGACCTTTGCTCTAGGCTGTCAGAGAGAGCAGTGCAGCGCTGGCGTTGTTCAGGTGCTGTCTGGTAGGGGGAATAACAGAAGAGGGAGGCTTTTCTTTGCTGAAGGCTCTCACCTGCCCCAAGGGCTGTAATGGGTCTCGTCCTTTTCCTTGGTTACTCCTTGACAGTGCAGCTCGTTTAACAGAAGGGAATTTTCTATGTTTTCCATGGCTCTCCTCCTCCTAAAACAGAGTTTGGCTGGAGATGAGATTTGTGCATCCACTTGAAATCCCTTGTAATTGCGAGGAACAATGAAATCCTCCTACCACGCATCACGGGTGGGTAGAGACCCCCGTTCTCCTGGCACAGGGTCACCATTGAAGGTCCTGAGATGCTGCAGGGCTGTGTGCCGAGCGCTCACCCTGTACTTTCCATCTCTTATCCGCCACTTTGCTAAGAGCCCACTCCTGCACCCCCTGAAATCACTTTGGATTTTGCCATAGGGTGTGCAGTATAAGAAGATTTTCGATTTCCAGGGCTAGCAGCTTCAGATGTCTCTAACCCTGAGTAAGTGGGGGTATTAACAGGGTTGCTATCCCTCTATGCAGAGCCTGCCGTTTGTGGAGCCCATGTTTGCAGAGGCCTGGGTGAAATCCATCTGGACGTTGCTTTCCTTCTGGTTTTCTCCTTGAGAGAAACACTCGATGTGTTTTCATCCCTCTGCTCCCCAAGCCTCCTGTCAGATGTTGGGGAAGGGGCTAAAGAGAAAAACCTGATGAAAAGCTGCTTCCTTGTGCTGCTGTCGCTGGGAGGTTTGGGGAGGGGCAGCTGACCTGGTGGGTTAGCTCGTTCCGTATCACAATGGTTTTTAAATAACGGTTGATTGCTTGTGTTTTGAGAACAGTTTGGACAGGAAGGGGGGCTTCGAGGTTGTTTAGAGGTTTTGGATAGCCTTTCACACTCTCTCTTTTCATTTCACTGTGCTGATATTGGCCTCCAGCCTTGTGCAAGAAGCTGGGGCAGACGTAGAACGTACTGAGAATGCCACGCCTGGGCACCAGCAGCCAGGCAGTGAATGGCAGTGGGTGTTTGCCAGCTCAGGTCTGCAAGTGAGGGTCTTTAATCTGTTGTTTAGCTGAAGGTTTTTCCTCCTGCTTACGTTCGGCTTTCTTCATCTCTCCATGTTTACTAGATCCTTTTTGGGTCCTGACAGAAATTTGTACCTCCAAGGGAAACAAAACGCCTCTCAAAAATATTTTAATTCTGTCTTCCTGTGAAGTTTTGAATGTAGTGGGGGAAAGGGGACAGCACTTAGCACTCATGGGGATCAGGGTAAGAGCATGCATTTGTTTTGTAGGGATGATCTGGGAGCCAACTGCATTTCTGCTGCTGGGCAGAATCTTTTAATCCTTATTTCTGCAATGGCACCTGCTGGGGAAAGTGGAGCATTACAGCAAGTTTAGGAAACACCGGCTTTTGCACACGTTATTTCCCATATACCTGGTGTTCAGAGACCTCTGAGAGTGGGCGTGAGACTTCTCTTCCAGGGGCGTAGGAATGAAATGTGCCCATCAAATATTCATTAGCCAAAAGTGTGATTTAAGCAGAAATGGTTTAGCTGGGGCCCTGGAGCATGGCTACAAACAAGAACATGGGTGTACAGTGGCTATAGTCATCTGGCTTTGGTTGGAGAGTGATTGATCCAGTTCCTGAGCAACCTGTGTTCCTGGAGGAGCTTTAAATCAGGGCTGAGGTTCGTTGGTAAAGTGCAGGGAACTGTCACGGTTGCAGGCTGTTTGGCTTTGTGATTTGAACGCGTGGGCAAGAGGCTGAGAGCTCTGGCTGCCGCCCTGCCGTGGCTTTGTGAACTGGGAAGACATCCTCTGCTGATTTTTCCTTCAATGCTTTGATGTTTTATGGCTAAGAGCAAAGAATGTGAACCTGAATAAATATGCCTTTGAGTTCTCATGCAGACTTTTCTTAGGGCTAAACTCTCAATTATTACAAAATATCGATAATAGGCTTTGTCAGTAAAACAGACTCAGGCCTGCGCTCTGGGCAGGAGTTTGCTGACTTTCCCTTTTTCTGAAGTTGAAATTTTTACCGTTGCCTCCGCAGTTGCTGTAGCTAATCAATGTCTCCTGTCTGCAGGAGTTCTGCCTCTTCGCTGTGGTCGGCCTGGTCTCTGACTTCTTTCTGCAGATGTTTTTCTTCACTACTGTGCTGTCCATTGACATTCGCCGTATGGAGGTAAGGAAGGGCTGAGAACACGGGGGTTTGCCTTGGGTCTTCCTTCTTTGCTATTGTGGAATGATTAAAGGAAGCACACCCTGTGATTTTCACTCTCTAAATGGAAAAGACTGAGCCATGAAAGTTCTGGGGCAGTACTTGCTTAGTTACACATATGCAGGGACTGGGGACAGGACACTTGAGGGAACAAGACACCCTCAGGTGCATGAACATGCAGATTTGTGGTAAATGGGCTGGAAAGAGACATGGTCACAAGCAGATGGCCATGGCTGGGCAAAGAGGAGAGTGCGTGCTGGAGAGAAGCTGGGACATGAGCCGGCAATGTGCGCTGGCAGCCCAGAAGGCCAACCGTACTCTGGGCTGCATCAGGAGAAGCGTGGCCAGCAGGTCGAGGGAGGGGATTCTGCCCCTCTACTCTGCTCTGGTGAGACCTCCCCTGGAGCCCTGCGTCCAGCTCGGGA